TTTGACAAATGCCTGCTATATTGTTCCACTGTTTAATTAGATTTAAATGTGAATCTCTATATCCATCGTAACTTCCAACAAGAAGTAGGGAAATTAGATAAACTAGTCCCAAAAATTACCAAACATGCCGAGGATTATTTAACTAAAGCCGAGATTTCACTTTCGCGTATTAATGGTAAGGATAGTGTATATGAATATTTAGAAAATTGTAGGGCGGCTATTGAAGAACTTAAAAATCTTGGTGCAGAATTTGAATCTTTGGAAAATCGTTATTGGGATATTTATTGGAAAGCATTTAATAAAGTTTATAACGACGAAGTCCAAATGGCTCCTAGAATGAGAGGGACTACATCGGCTGTGGAATTGGTGCAGCAAGTATTACAAGATGGATATAAATTTAGTCCATCACCAATGAGGGGACCATGGCGACCGTCCGAGATCACTCCTGCAGAAGAAAGTTTTGGAAATAGAAAAAGGGATTTGTTAAATGATAAAATAGGAGGAGCTATTGATTTAGAAAAGATATCTATGAAAGAAGTCATGGACAATCTCGTAAATAATTTTTCTCAATCAATTTCTATTGATGATTTTAAAGATCAAGCCAACAATGTATTATCGACAATTAGCACGGAATTTAAAAATAATATTGCTACCGATCTTAATGGAAGCGATATTTCTATCTTGGATAATTTCATTAAACCCAAGTTAGGAGTTACTGATGATTATGGTAGAAGTTTAACTAGTACTATGGTAAAGGATTTTCTGGCAGCGCGTATGACAAGTACAGTTATGACAGGATTTGGTGCTGTCATATGTTCTAATAATGTTGCACAAGAATGTGAAACATATCAGTGCCTTTGTAATACACCTATTGGCGAGAATGATAAAAGTTGTATAATTGCAGGTGGATTTGGACCTAATAATGATGGAAGTTACGATGGATATAGAGATTCACATTTAAATCTAATTAAACAGTGGAACAATATAGCAGGCATTTGTCAAA